TGAATGGGTTCAGCCCAACAGAGAAATAATCTACCTGAGAATGAGATTATTTGAATGCCTGACACATGGTGTTTTCTTGTGATGAATGCATGCTAAGTATGGTTGTAAAATAGCACTGTCATGGGGGTTGCAGTGGCTGAGAAATCTTAAATGCACAAGTCCTTCTTCACCTTTCCAGTGGGTAAGGAAAGCGTGTGTCCTTCAACAATGAGGAAACCATATTAAAGGGGTGATTCCAGAGAGTGAAGCTTATATGTTTCATAACTGGTAATGAAACAACCATACAGTAAGCACTCAACATGTGGTATTACCACTGAGGTGGAATTCTAAAATTGATAAATCATGGGGAGTGAATTAATTTGAATTATTCATCCGTATGTCTGCTAATCAATTTGACAAAACATTGAGGACATTTTTATGCTATTATTTCTACTCAGCAAGGGTATTCACCTGACTTCTTCATGAAGGGTAGAGAATAAGAATCCCTACTTTATTATTTGGGAGGGCCAGAATCAAAGGAAGCCACAAGAGATAGGGATCCGTTGCAGTCCCCACCCTGCAGCTGTGCCTCTTTAAACCCACCGGGCCTGGCCTCTGGTGACCTGGCTGTGTCTGAAGTCTGTGTCACATGTTCTACCACGTGTATCCCTTTGCCAGTGTCACCCACAAGCCCTAGGGTTGTACGAAAGACTTTTGAGAACAGTAGTGGTTTCTTCAGGCGGAGTGTTAAGCACTCTAAAGAAACCATCAGCAGTATTAGTGCCTGCTTTATCACAAAGTAGCATTTCAGGAAATAAGTCCTGCATTGGCTTGCAGTTGTAATTTCCCTAAATTTAATAAAATATTATTTTACAATATTAAAAATGCATGTGTCAGAGAAAAGACTGCTATATAATCTGGTGTTTTCTTTTCTGATTTGACCTAATTGAAGCTAAAACAAGTTTTGTTTTAACTTGCAAAACAAAGGAAAAATAAAAAATAATTCTATCTTTCTCTCTAACAGCCTTTTAGTCTTGCTGAGTATAAGCCCACTTGAGGCAGAGGTGAGGTTCAGCTTTCAAGGGAAGCAAAGCATTTTAGAAAACAGATGCAAAGGAAGCACGGATGGCCTTTAGAGAACCGAGGTCACAGGGGCCTGAGAGGAGGCTGTATTTGGTTGCTGCATTGCTGTCACCCATGCGTGTTAGTGTGACCACCGCCCCAGAGAAGATGTGGCACTGTCGTCACAGGGCCCCACATGTTGCCCCCTTTCAGCCATCCTCACCCCTCCTGCCTCCCACCGTAATCCCTGAAGGCCACTGTCTTCCTGTCGCATTGATTCAGTTATTTCCAGAATGCGCTGTGAGTAGAATCCTAAATGATGAACGCTCTAGAGAGTGGTCTTTCTCACTTGGCACAGTTCCCTTCAGCTCCATGCCAGGGGCCGCAGCCCAGAGCTTGGTCCTTTTATGGGTGAGCGCTGTGTGAACGCACCATTCCACTGGAGCAGGGAGGAGCCTGTTCAAAGGCGCCCTCTGAAACTGCAGCCCGCCTCGCAGAAACGCAGCCCTGACTAACTGAGTGTGAATGCAGCGGCACCCACAGAACTGGGACGAGCGGCGTCCCTGAACTCACTGCCACCGGCCTCTGTCTGGGACATCAGGACTCAGAGATTCAGCAACTGGAACCCTGGGTCCCCTCACGGTGGCCACTGAGGACGGGAGGTCACTTCAGCAGCACCAGAACCAGCACCAGCACCCGCCAGGGATGTGGCACTCAGAGGAGAGAATGACTCTTTAGTGTTCTATAAACTCATCATCGAAACGCTTGGTGTGGAGTTTGGGGGTACCCGGGTGGTTAGTGGTTGAGGGGTGCACTTGATTCTTTCATGTGGATGTGGATAAAGCAGAAGCACTAATATAGTAAGGGAAAGTGAAAGTGGGAGTAACCCTAGTATTTAAACACATGCCACTAAATGTGGTTGTTTACAATGTTGCCCTGATGATCTGCAGGTTTTAATGTATTGGGAAGACTTTAATGTTTATGTGCTGGTGGGTAAAACTAGTTTTCAGAAAAATTAAGTAATGAGATGGGGCTGCTCCTTAGCGTCACCTTTCTCCTTAACTAATTACTGAGTTTCTCTTTCTGAAGAGTGTTGGACAGGAAGCTGTCTTAGTCCACATCAGAAATGTAAAACTGCCTCCTCTCACGCTGCCCATTATTATTTCTCTGTGCCCAACAGGTGCTCCTCCATTACAAAGGGGTCCGATCCCCTAAACCCAGTGTAAACTGACAACGTGATAACTTCATGCCTTACACACACTTTCCCGAGTCTCCTAGATCACCTGCTGCTTTGCACTGAAGTTTCAGTGCTCAGTGTTCAGGCAGGAGCTGTCCCTGGACAGCTTCCGCCTACTCCTCAGCACATGCCTGACTCATCTCCAGAGACTTAAGTCCCTGCCTGTGGCTGCAGCTACATTAGGCAGCTGCGAGGGACTGGGAACTGGAAGGGCCCGGGCTGCTCATTCCCAGGATGGACAGCGTGGGGGATGGTGGGGGCCAGGGCAGGAGAGAGGCTGACTCCATCCAGCAGGAACAGCAGTAAAGACAGAAAGTCATTAACGAAGTACTGTCTAGACGCAGGGCCGGCCCAGTGCCGACAGTAGATCCAGGATTGCACCTCATCTTGGCACATGGCAGAGAAAAGGTGCTACCTACGTCGGCACTGGAACAGAACTACACAAGAACCCTTTGAAGCTCATCCCTTGAACCCACATGTGAGTGCCCATGTGTGGCACTGGCCTGGATCCAGCGCTGGACCAAGACCTTTGACATAGTCTGCCACATTCATGGGCAGCACAGCGTGCTCTTCTTCCAAGGCACTGGTTCTATGGCCAGGAAGTCCAAAGGCTTGAACCATGGCCATGCCTCAGGCACAACCTCACTCTGCAGCAATCTGCCAGCCTTTCTGGGCCTGCTCTGCAGGAATTCACTGGGCACAGCTAGAGTAAATTCCCAGAAAGGACTCACATTTTCCAGCTTCAGTGGGCCCCAAGACACTGTCACCCTTGCCTCACGAACTCTCTTCTGCAGGTCACACTGCATCCTCCTGATACGCCTGCCCTCCATCCTCAAGCTCTCCGTAACTGGCTGGTTCTTTCCCTTCCTCCAGCTCCTCCCTCCTGACCTGCACACCTGACCGGACCTGTGTCTGGCTGGTTGCTGTGTCCTGAATATTCCTTCCCCCATATTTTGATCAGCTGCCACTTGCCTAGCTTGGGTTATAAGTGGCCTCTCTGGAAGCCTAACTATCCCACTCACCCCCAACCTGGGACTCCTTGTGTGCATTCACATCTGTGTCTGTCACTTGTCTGTGACACTCTTCTTACGATGGTCCCCGTGCTCTAAACTCCTTAAAGGCAGAGACTGGGGCTCCCTAAGCACTGGAGAGAAGGAAGGTGCCCACCAGCCAGTGTTCAATTGTTGGGAGCAGGAACCAGGGTGTGGCAGTGAACGGGTGTGGAAAACCACACACTGAAGCTGGACCTCAACCAGTTCCTCATCCTGCAGTAACCTCAGCCTTCTAGACAAAGCATCGCGCTGATATTAACCTGGGAATAGCTTCAGAACATAAACAAAGAAGTTTCTCATGGGCCCAGGAACATGTTTACCTTCTGGGCTGCACAACATAGAAGTTTCTCACGGGCCCAAGAACATGTTTACCTTTGCTGTGCGCACAAGAAAGTGTCCTGAAGTGACTTGTACTGCTCTTTGTTTTGAAACACTATAAAAACTCTAGAGTCCTTCAATAAATCGCCTTTTGCCTCCTGAGCAACTGGTCTCCCTGTGTCTTCAGTCTCTCGCCTGACTCCTTCCCCGCGCTGGCCGCGGCACCTGGCATTCAATAATAATACTCTTCCCTGGTTTGCTCTGAGCAGCCCACATCATGGTGAACTTTCAGACGGAACGAGCCCTGGTGACATCTGACTGTAACCCTGGCCCCTTGACCTGTGCTGTTCAATGCACCCAATGTGTGGTAATTCTTTAGAACCCTGTAGGGACACTCCCATCTTGTCCAGGAACACAAAGACTTCAGATCCACCATAACTGCTCCAGCAGGCAGTGCCCCTGCCCTTTCTGTGGGACCTGAGTGTGGCCAGGACCTGTGTGACAGGGTCCTCTGCACCAGCTGCTGCCTGTGTTGGGAAATCAGCCAGAGATGAGAATCTGCTTTCTTCATCCCTTCCTGGGCTTAGCCTGGGTACACCTGACTCATGGCAGGTGCTCACGCCGTAGACATCCACAGTAGTGTAGTAATATTAGATTGTTTCTAGGAACCCAGCTTGCTCTGTGTGAGTGAGTAGACAGCCATGCTTACTTTTACACGGCCCGCTCAGGGGTCTCTCCTCGCTGTGTCTCTCACACTAGATATGCAGCCCCTGTCATCTCTGGGTTCTGTTTTCTCAACACTTTTACGCTTCGCACTGCTGCTTGTGAAACAGCATGATTTTCTCCACCACATCAGCCTTCTTCAAATGAAGTCTGATTTCAGCAGAGAGGATGAGGAATGCATTTGAAATACAAACGTAGAGGCAGTGTGGTCTCAGGAGAGGAAGCCCCTTCCAAGCCATGCTACACCCACACAGTCACTGCCTACACAACCTTCTGAGCCATCCTGGCAGGACTGAGTTGGTGTCTGTATATTAGCCTTTATAGATTGTCATGGGTGAACATCCACTCAGGGTCCCGGGGAGTTTAGTTAGCACTGATGGGTTGATTGGCTGTGAGAGAAAAAAGAATTTCCCAAGTGCTTCCAAACGGTCCCCCTCTCCCCCTCTGGGCATGTGATGCAATCTTCCATTCTAAATACAATTCTCCCCGCTCAGCATGTGCATTCACAGAATGCAGGTTCTGCCAATGTACAGGTGTAAGGAAGGTTTCTACTTACTTTTCCCTGAGACACATGAGCTCCTTTTGTATTCCTCTTTCCTGAGAGACAGGACGTGCAGTCATTTACTTACTCAGAGGGAAATCGGAAGAGCTCCGGGCTCCGGCTGGGCTGTGGACTGTGAGCGCTGTCTTCATAGCTCTCAGTGTAGGGTGCTCTGTGGATACAGGGTGCCCTTAAATCACATCACCTCTGCTCCTTGAGGTCGTGGGGCTGCCCAGAAGTGAATCTTTCAAGACAGGGAGAGATAAGGGTGTTGGCAGGAACCTCCTGTCACTTTGTCATTTGGGGGTGGGCAGAGGGTACGCAGTGCCCCTCTGATGTATATCCTCAGGTAGACCTGCCCAGCTCTTCACAGCAGGCACTATAATTGCCAACAGGCTCTGAGTCCCAATTTTGGCTTGTAGACTTCCCAACACTCACAAAGCCTCAGCCTGCACTGAGAGATGACTCCCCCACTCACAGGTGGTCCCTGAAGGCTCTGGCTTGGGAGATAGCTTGTACGGAGCTAAACTTCATACCACTCCTGCAGTTTGGTCATGCAGGTGCCCAGCCAAGAAGCCATCCATGAGGACGCCACAGCAAGTCTGACTCACATAGTGCTCGGTGCTGAGTGGCAACTTCCACGTAAGTGGGTTCTATGGGTTGGACCACCCTAGAACTCACATTTCACCAACTGAGAAAGTCCTGGCTTACTTTTGCACATCCTATCAAGCAAGCTATGAAAGCTATGGCTCTGTGGATTCCTAAAACACTGCTGTGTTCAGAGCCCTGCATTCGGGGGGTCCTAGCCAGACCAGGATTCCAGGTCACACTTCCTGCTCCTGAGGGCCAGCTCCCCCAGGTGGAACACAGGGGCGCCCTCTTCCTACAAAGTGGAGGCTATTTTTTACATCTTTGCCCTTGTGACTGCTGCCTCAGTGGATCTACCTGTGCTACAAATTCTTCGGCAGTTTTCTTCATTTGCTGGAGGTCTAAAAATTCGGGAAGAGAAGGAAGAAGAGGGTGGGGGAGATAGAGATGGGAGGAGGAGGGAAAGGAAAGGGGGAAGGAGGAGAGGAGCATGGAGGGGGCAGAGGAGGGGGGGGAAGAAAAATGGGAGAGAAACAGGAGGAGAGCGGGTGGAGTAGGAGGAGGAAGGGTAGCAGGAGGGAGAGAAGAGGCCTAGAGCACTGGCACCCAGCGAGCTCCTCTACAGGCTCCTGCAGCAGAAGCCTCTGCTGGACACTCACTGTGGACCGCCCAGGCGTGGCTGGGCCGATCAGCTCCTGAAGAAGTGGTCTGCAGCCCTCCCTCCAGGCCTGCTCACCCCAGCCAAGCCCCTGGATGCTCTGCCACCCACAAAGACATCAGCTCACCTCCTGGCTTCTTCAGCAAGGGCTTGGCCCAAGGTTTCTCCTCATCCCCAAGAATCCTGAGGGCGAGCTCTTCGAGCTGTTCCTGTAATTTCTACACCGTCCCAAAAGCCCAACCGCCGCGGTGTGAGGACTAGGGAGCCCCTGAACCTCCCTCCCGGCTCAGAGCCAGCTCGGGGATCCGTTGGCGGTTTTGCGCTGCGTTCTGGGAGACCGCGAGGGCTGGGGAGTCACGCATGCGCACACTCACTGCAGCCTCTGCTCATGGAGGTCTCTAGGCCTGGCTCCACTTGCCACCGGAGGTCTTGAAACGTTCTGAGCTGTGCCTCATCAAGAAGGAGCGTCTGGCTGGGGCCTGGCTCCTGCCCTGACTCAGGATGCCCAGCACCCCAGCAGCCCTCAGCGCTGTGCAGTGCGCAGTGCACTGCTGCTTCTGGCCGCACTGCAAGGCTCCCAGGGAAATCGGGCTGACCGGCTTCCCCAGGAGCTCAGCGTTGCCCAGCCCCACGGCTCTGCCCAAGGCCACAACCGGCTCCCTGGGTTCAGTGAAAACCAAGGGGCCCCTTCAGAAAAACCGCCTCCTCCTGTCAGAGGTTTGCAGTTCATTCCATGACCTGCCTCCAGGGTGAAATGCCATTCAGGACAAACCCTCCCTGAGAAGCCTGCCTAGTCCAGTAAGCAGCAGGTGACAGGGTCCCATGAGGCCGGGCAGTGCCTCAGACATCCAGGCTGATCCAGGCTTGGCCCTGAGGCAGTGCCCTGAGGGACGAGCTGGTGACAGCTTCTGGGTTTGCCCTTTTACTTGCCCAGTATGGCTCAGAAGCCCTTCTACCTTGGTTTCAGGTATTTTGCTTATAAATCTCGAGGCAAAGATGCTTTGGCTCATCTTTTCTTTCAAGAATCCCTACGGAGGTTCACTTATTGAAATCCGAAACGCATGTTTCCGCATCTGGTACCGAACATTGAACCCGGAACCTGCACACTGAGCCGCATCCCCAGCCTTTCTATTTTGAGACAGAGTCTCAGTAAGTTCCCCAGGCTGGGTTGGAATGTGTCATCTTCCTCTTTAACATTCCAGAGTTCGGTGATAATCTTGTGCAGTACCAAAACTAGGCAAAACACCTCTTTTGAGGTATAAAAAAGAGGGACTGAATGTTTTCAAAATTCTGCTTCTCTCTGGACATTGTGTAAATTCTTTTCATCGTTGATGGGATCAGAGAAATAATTTTAATAATCTTGATTTGGAGAGCACTGAAATAAACAGCGTAGGCAAATGTGTGGATTATAAATCTGGTTAACTTTGTGATTAACTCTTAAGACACTTCAAGAGCCCCGAAATGAAGAGTTTGACCACCATCAAAATGAGATAGCAATGTTGCAGAATTTACATGAAGAAAAAATAGCCAAGCTAAGGCATCGACATTGGAAGGAAACATGCAAATATAATGAAATCGCCAAGGTAAGGCCGCCTTGAAGACAGCTTGGTCAGTGGATAGTGCAATGGGAAATGGGCAGCTATGAGAGCTGGCGTTTCCCTGTGGTACTCTCAGTAGTGTTGCGGTTGGTGTCAAGGTGGAGTGCGCTCCACACACTCTCTGCTGCACAGTAAGGGGTTCTGGGATGTGCAAGCCCTATCGTGTGTGGCAGAGAAAAGCTCTTCCCGCTGTGAGTGTGAACCAAAGTGCTGGGATATGTTTCCATAGAGATGAACTGAGAGACAGAGCCTTGGACTTGCTGTGGTGAGAGTTTGTAAATTCCTGCTGCAGGGCTTAAGACTTGAAAGTATATAACCCTGACCACATAATACCTGTGCCTTACAGACAGAAGACCACGTAGATGAGGAGGAGAGAAGTCTGACAACAATTTAAAAAATCTGCTCTATCTGAAGAGACAGCAGGGCTGAGAGAACCACAGAGTCCCTCCTCCACCCGGGACGCTGGGGACTGTGAAGGACAGCTGCAGCCCTGCACTGTAGAGAAACAACGCCTGTGAGCAGACCTGAACAAGAAGGCCAGGGAACATCGCATTCTCACCATAAAATATAATAAAATACTGGAACTCAAGGCCACTAGGGTAGCAGCCAGCACCAGGCTGCACATGGAGAAGACAGAACCATGCTCTGGAGCTGAGGGTGTTGGCCACGATATGCAGAGAGAAGCCATGCACGGTTCAGCTCCCGCCAGACCCAGAGTGTCTACTTTGATTGATACCAAATCAGACCTAGAGATGAAATTATACCAAAAATATTCCTAAAGGAGATTTTCCAAAACCTCCTATAAAATGAACCGGGATGCAGCTCCCCGAAGGGAAAAGGTATTGGTTTGGAGCAGGTAAAGAGCAGAAAACAACAGGTCAATTCTGGGTGTAGCATTGTGGTGCGAAGCTGAGGGGACTGAGACATTTGAACTGCCAGTGGACTGGAAGAGGACACATCTGTGTGTATTAGACACATTTACTTCGCGGTGTTGTGGTGCCATAAAATGTTTTCTATGCAGCATCTGAATGTGCCTTCCTTACATTACGAGATATTTTAAACTATTTTGAGTAGAACAATAAGCTTTTAATTATCTTACTAATTAAAGAAAAATCACTTAGGAGTAACTCATGATTTCTTTTTTTTTTTTTTTTCATTTTTTCTTTTGTCAAAATCAAATTCAAATAGCTTCCAAATCTAGAGGCCTGACTTTATAGATTTTAAATTTTTGGATGAGGAATGCCAACCAATAAAGCCTAATGAAATATTCTGAAATAAATCAAATCTGAAATTGAAGATAATTTTTCTCACAAGTGTTTTGGATAAGAAATACTGAACTTGTATTTTGACTACAATCAGTAATATCCTTTTGAAGAAGAAAGTATGTTGTCAAAAACTCTTCACAACTGTTTCATTTTTTAAATTTTTTTATTTAAAGAGAAAGAAAAAAATAGAAAAAAGGGTAGAAACTACAGAATTTCAGAAAAACAAACAGTAACAAATCACCAGTTGATAAGTTATATACCGTCATGATAGAAATAGTTGCTCAACTTACAAAATTAAAGCATACAAAGTGATATTAAAATAATGACACTGCAAACAGTTCTGCTCAACGATCCAACAAGAACTTAGTAATGTGGTTATCAATCCTACACACTTGTTTTATATCTTGAAGAGGGTAAGGTTGAACAGAACAAAGCAGTTTATAAGGAAACAATTTAAAGAAACACAGATTTCAAAGCAAGCCCACTGGAGATCTTCACTCTCTCTTTTTGTCTCTAGTTTTCTTCCAAATAGTTGTCACCATCTTCACACACTTTGAATATATAGTGAACATTATAGAACTAATCAAATCATGACAGGATGATGAAGACTTTTTAGGTCTTCAAGACCTGATTTTTGCGAAGTCAATAATGACTACCATAATGTTTCTCAGTCTCTTTGTAGTAGCTGTCTTTATCATTACATATGCTGAAATTGAACATAAGAAACTAGACTAATATCATTCTGAACAGTGAATGATAGTATTGCTAGAGTTTATATCATAATGCTACAGAATTAGCCTTGGGTTTCTTAGTGTCTCTTCTTCATCGGAGTATCTGTTCATTACATCGTGTAATATATAATATGTTCCATAAATAGTTTAGAAATTCTACCCATGTGTGAATCTCTACATGTGTATCTATCCTTTCTGTATTATAGAGAAAAATAGATCAAAACAAGACAACAAAATAAATTCCTAGAAAAACATGAAATGAAAAAGACATACAGGACCACAATATGAGGTGATCTACAGTGGTTACTATGCTTTCTCTTGTTATTTTCAATAGACTTGTCCACATCATCAGGCATAATATAATTGAACATAACATTACCTAGGAATTTTAATAAAAACACAACTTTGAAGACATTGTAGGACTTGAAGCAGTTAATAATCAAAACCAGAATGAGTATCTTTTACATCTTGTCATCATCAGAGTAGTTGCCTCTACTCTTAGACTTGATACTATCAAGCATACCAAATTCAAATAAAATCAGTGGAGACTAAACAATAGTCTAACACACCAGCTTCAAATAAGACCATTCATAGTAAGACAATGTAAGTAATACAGGGTTTCAGTGTAAATGAACAGGAAATTAAGGATAGTTACCATGGTATAACCTGCTATTCTTGGGTTAGCTGTCTGTGCCCTCAAATCTAATATGAGTAGACAGACCAGAACAAAATATAATCAAACTAGACACAACGATAAGACTACTATGACTTTTAAATCCTGATATACTATTAACAGTGTGCTCTGCCTTCCTTTTTTAGACAATTCCTCCCCTTTCCCTTTCTCAGGGTGCTTTGTATATTTTGGGTCCCACTAGCTGTTTTAGTTTTTAGATAAGGGGCCAACCTGTTAACTATCTGAGTGTTGCTAAACCTTTCTACCCCTGAGCTTGATCTTAAGCTGTACTCTTTTACAAGTCACAAGGTTTTCCTTCCTTCCTTCCAGCTGTGTAGTTCTACACTGCCCAAAAGTGTCATAGCTTTCCAATCTATCTGCGGCTGCTAGACGAGTTGTCCCTATTTCTGTTTTCCTGTCACATATACCATTGTTTTCTCATCTTTGACTCTCAGTTTATTAACCCTCTTTCAGGTTGATTGTACTTCCTATTTAGAGCATCTCGATGGATCCTGCCTCCTAATCTACTCTGCCTGTGTTTCTTTTTTGTTAGTGTATCAGGGCTATCTGTATTAAAGATTATACCATCTCTGCCTCATTTCTGCTATTTTATTCTTCTGCTATTACTTGTCCACTTTACTCCTTCATTCCACTGTCTGCCCTGTTCATTGAGGCCTGTCTGCCACTGTTGCTGTAATCCCTGGTATCTTTTTCCTCTCTCTCTCTGGAATGTCCTTCAGTATTTTTTGTAGGGTTGGGTTTGTGACCATGAACTCCCACAGTTCCTCCTTGTCTTGGAAATATCTTGTTTCCCATTAATTTTGAGAGAGAGTTTTTCTGGGAACATCAGTCTTGGTTGGAGGTTATATTCTTTCAGGGCTTGGACTATTTCCTCCCAGTGTCTTCTCGATTTGAGAGTTTGTGTTGATAAGTCTGTCGTTATTTTGATAATTTTTCCATTGTAGGTAATCTGCTTCTTTTCTTTGACTGCTTTTAATATTTTGTTCTTGTGGTGGATTTCTGGAATCTTGATTATTATATATCTGTGTGTAGATCTGTTTTGTTTGTAGGTGGCTGGAGTTCTATATGCCTCACTCATCTGGATATCATTTCTTTTTCCTATGCTTGGGAAGTTTTCCTTAATTGTATCTGTGAATAGTCTTTGTCATTCATTTGTGGTTACTCCTGCTTCTTTGCTCACGTTTTTTATTCTTAAGGTATAAATCCTCTTGTTGTCTTCTAGCCTTTGAATTGTTTCTTCCTGGTTCCTTGTTATTTTTAAGAGGTCTTTTCTTTCATGATCACAAACCATAAATCTCTCTTTAAGTTTCAAAAGGCTAACTTTAGTTTCTGTCAAGGCATTTTTCCAGCTTTCTATGGAGTTTTTAGTTTCCTGGTAATCTCTTTGGATCTGTTTCATGTATTCTAGATTTTGTTTATATTCTTCATCAAAGGTTTCTCTTCCTTTTCTGAGTTCCTCCGTTCTTCCATCTGTGTTCTCTTGGGAGGAGCTTATCATTTCTTTAATTAATCTTTTTCTATCTTGCCTCACTTGGATCAGAAGTACAGTTTTAAATTTGTCTATTAGGTCATGAAGGTATTTCTTTATATCCGCTGCTGCTATGTCTAATATTGCATGATTACTGCACTGGTTCTCTTCTGTATTTACCTCTCCTGGGCTTATTTTTCAGGGTCAGTGGCTGAAGGTTTATTTTTATTTCTATCTTTTTTCATATTTCTAGTTTCTTTCAGACAGATATGTCCGTGGGGGTCTCTGGCCCTCTCCGTATTGCTTAGGATCTTTGCTTAGTGTGCTGACTGGGGTTTTGCTGCCCTCCCCAATTTGCTGTTATCTGAGGTTTCGTAAACTCCCTCCCAGGGGCTCAGGATGGTATAGACACTCACCCCAGGCCACCCAGTCCAGAGTTCATGGCCCAGGCTGGCAGGCCCAATTCCCCGAAGCCGGTCAAGCTCGGCAGGAAACCAGAAAGTTCTGGTTCTGTATTTTTGATTATTGTCTGAAGAGGTGTTTTCAGAAGCAGATGCTCTAGGCTCCCTACATGACAGCAGCTCAGCTGCGTGTGCCTGGTGGCGGAGAAGCCCACCCAGGGACCTCAGGGGCACTCTGGTGGCGGGAGCCCACTCAGCACCGGCGCCATGGGCTAGGGTCCTCACATGAATGGCGAGGGCGAAGGCGGTGATACGTCCCAGCAGGTCGGGTCCCAGGCCCATGACACCACAATGTGCCCTCCTTGCACCCTCCAGGATGTGGCCTGGATTAGGGAGGGAGGCGGTGGCGGAGACAGGTGGGTGCCCAGTCGCTCCTCTAATCCATCCTCCAACAGGCCCGTGGCAACAGCGTCATAGGTGGCGGCTGGAGCACATCAATGCAAGGATGGCCTGTCTGGGTGAGCTGCGGGCGGCGGGCTGTACAGGGGTACGGCTGGCCGGGAGTTTATGTTTGATTGGTTTTTCTCACCTTAGGTTCTTCTTGGGATGAGAGAATTCCTTTCCCTCCATTTGGGGCTCCCCACACTGTATTATGTTGGATTCTAAGTTGACTGTCTCAGGGAGCCTCTGTAGCCTGCTGTTATCTATCTGCCATCTTTGCTCCACGGTCAACTATTTCATTTTCATATTTGCTCTAATATTAAAAAATGTGAGATGTAAATGCTTTGGAAAATAATGTGGTTCCTTACCCAGGATTATGCTCTGAGAACAGGAATATATGGTGTTGTGTTTTTGTTTCATCGATTTATGTTGGGGCACCTTCTATGTATCATTTCCTCTTTGCCAGGAGACCATGTTGCACAGGCTGGCCCTGAACTGAGAGGTTCAAGGGATCCTCCTGTCTCAGCCACTGCTGAATGACGGGGACTCCAGCCTCCTGCTGTCCTGGCCAGCTTCTATGTTCTTAAAAAAAAGGAAAGCTTCCATGAAATCTTAACAGAATCCTAAACTGCATATTCATTTCAGATGTGGGTTTACAACAGAAAAGAATTCACTCTAGTCAGCCTCACTGTGTGTGTGTGTTTCAAAATCTTCAAAAGCAGCATCTGTGCTGAGCACCTGAGAAACTGCTCAACATGGTGAGTAGCCGCGGTGCATCCTGTGCAAGGTCTTACATCAGAAGACCTATTGCTCTGGTGAAATCTGGACCTCTAATGAGGAAAAGATAGCCTCTCACAGAAACGATATCGGCAAACTATCCACATGGAATAAAACAGATTTAGGCTTCACCTTCATCAGGGATGAAAATGAATCCCAGTCTAATTAGAGCAGTGACTCTCACCTGGGAGAGGTGTGGGATGTTTTGGCATAGTTTCAGTGATTGGAATGACCGCTTGGCTCTTCTAACATTTATTCAGTTTATTGTCCTGAATGTAACTATAACAAAAATAGTGTCATCATAGAAAACTGTTTCTTTTTCCTATTTGTAACTTTGCTCATCTAATTTTCTCAGTTGTTTGAAAGTACACTCATTTCATTCTACACTGAAAAGTTCAACTTGTTCAGTTGTAGCTTATTTTAGTATTTTAATAATGTAAATATTTTGCAGCACATAAATCAGGTGTCATATGAGGATACTAACATTTTGAGATATAGCAATACCTAATATTTTATTGGAGACTGACCTTGGATGGCTTTGGATTGTTCTAATCACCTCCTATTGAAGGCAGAAACGTTTAGTAAAAATTGGATGCAAAGCATGGTTTACTAATATCTGAAACTCTGTAAAAGTGGATACATTTTCTGGTATTGACAGTATTTGTTGGTTTTAAATAATCTTGTATCTGCTTCCAGATGACCTCAGAGGAGATGCAGCACAGGTGGCTGCATGGCTTTGGGGACAGAAAAGGGAGGAAGCCCCCTTCAGGCTGGATCATCACCCTACATGCCACAGAGTAAGAACCAGTTTGATTTTCCTTCAGTAGGAATGGTGAAGGGAGGGGTGCCACACTCATTCCGAGAGGCTGGTCCTCGTGTCATGGAGATCCTAGAATCTGGACTACTCCTTGGCATTTCAGTATTGGGAATGAACTCTAATGCAGTTTCTGAGCACCATGTGGTCCAGGGTAAACGCATGTACAGGCTGGTGCTGCTGGTGGGCCCGAGTGCAGGTGTTTGAAACCCGCTCTGCTCTCCAGGAAACGTCTATGGCCAGATCCCTGGTCCTGGGTCTCCCCTGAGGTCCTGGTGGCCCTGCATGGCTATCACAGGCTCCCCAAGCGCTGGCCTCCTCTCCCTGTCTGGGATGAATCTGGGCCTCTGTGGTTCTCCCTGAGGAGAACAGGTGTGGGGCTGTCCATTGGCTCCCAGTAAGTGTCTTGGGGTCTGCTCACTGCACCTCCTAATCGCTGTCCAAGAAACTGACACTGCCCCTGACCTCCCTATCTCCTCCCTGTGTTCCTGCAGCATCTGGAACTCTTTGGTGCACAGCCCACACCACAGATGAACATGCTGTTCCTTGATCTCATCATCTCCCACACCCCTTGCTGTCCCTCTGCATTGTCCACCCAGTCCCATGGCTATACCTGACCTTGTCATCGTGCAGAGTGACTCTGCATCTGGCAGGCTCCACTCAGACTTTCCTGCCCTGCAGCTGCAGGGTTCTTTCCTGCTGGTCACCCTGCATCCTCCTGATATGCCTGCCATCCAGCCCCAAGCCTGGTCCACACATGGCTGGTTCTTCCCCTTCCTCCCGCTTCTCCCTCCTGACCTACACACCTGCCTGGCCCTGTGTCTGGCTGGACTCTGTGTCTGGAATACACCTCTCCCCCTTTTCTTGGTCGGTTGCCACTTTTTCAGGTTGGGTTATAGCTGGCCTCTCTGGAAGCCTAAGTGTCCCCCTTGGCTGCCCACACAGGGCCCCTTCTCTGTGCTCACAACCCCTGTGTCACCTGTCCTGTGATCTCTCCTAACAATTCTTCCTGTTCCATAAGTTCAAGGAAAGCCAATGTTAGGGGCTTCCTGGGCACCTGGTGAGGAGGAAGGCGCCCACCAGCCAGTGTTCGATAAGAACGCTCTCCCCTCCTTTGCTCTGAGCAGCCTTCAGCCCTCCAGCCCTGGGTGCTGGGTGCCTGCAGCCCTTCCTTCCCTCTCCCAGGCTAAGCTTCCACCATTGCTGAGACGCCTCCAGCTGTGCCCCTCATGGTGCCTCTCTGCCCTGAGTGCTCCCTGCTGGCGCTTGCGGGGTGCTTTTGTGGCATCTCAGTTCTTTCTGAGAATTACATAGAGGCTGGAAGCTCCCTGGACACAGGGTCTCTGCCGATCCACCTCTCACTCCTTGCAGTCAACCTAGACATTTCTAGACCAATGAAATTGTAACAGAGGCTCTTAATGGATGTGAGGAGTAGTTTCCCTTGAACCTGGAACAAAGCTCTACAAACTCCATAGCTTAAAGTAACACCAAAATTTATTCTCTTCAGTTGTGGAGATGGAGCTCAAGTCAGGGTGTCAGCAGCTGGTTGTCCTGGAAGCTCCAGGGAGAATCAGGTGTCACATCTTTTTCTGCCACTAGAGGGCGCGTGAAAACCATGACTTTTGGCCACTTTCCTGTGTCATGCAGACCTGCGCTTCTGTCCTGAGTCTGTGTTTCCTGCTGCCTTCTTATAAGGATCCTCCAGATCTCATTGGTCCCTGAATAATCCAGAATCATCTCCACATCTGGAAGTCCATAAAGTCCTCCTTACCCCATAAGGTACGTTTACCAGCATGAAGACGAGGTCCTGGCTATCTTGGTGGCTGTCATTCAGCCTTGTAGTGTTTACAGTGTCAGAAAGAAGCAACAAGAAGCCAAGCTTCCTGGGTCACTGCTGTTTCAACTCCTCCAGAAGAGCTGGTGGCTTTCTTTGCTGCGGGATCCGGACATGGGAGCGAGACTTCTAGGCATTGCTGCTTATAAAGCTCCCAGACTTTGGTCGTTACGGGGAGACTCACAAAAACATAGGTCACAGGCTTCACGCAGCTATTGGTGAAAGCAAGGTAGTTGGCTGTGGCACGGAGGCCATAGGTTTGCCATCAGCTGCAGGCCCAGGTCGGTGCCCTCCTCCCAGAGCAGCCCTGGAAGGTGAAGAAGTGGTAGGGGCCAGCACAGCAGGAAGGCAACCACCAGCATGGAGATCAGCGCTGTGGGCCTGCCGCCCTGGGGACCTCCACACTAGCTCCTGCTCACCTCTTCCCAACAGTCAGTGAGGCCAGGACGTGGTAGTTGGCAGCCAGCGGAGGAGAAAGCCGAGGACATTTAATTCCACCATCCTCGCCAAGTGCCAGTCCTGGTGGGGAACAGCAGGATGAGGGCAGAGACATTCAGATCAGGGAGGGCTTTGACGGAGCCAGCAGGAATGTGGGGGTGCTCAAGAGGACCCTGCCACCCAGATGAGCAGGCAGATGGCCTGGGCGTAACACCACCACCAGCACCCCCAGCTGACCCTGGGTTGCACCGGCACCATGTACTTGTCCTGGCTGATGGCCAACACCAGGAAGATGCTGATGAACAGGTGGGCCTTGATGGCCCCATTGATGACACTGCACAGAATGGCTCCGAAGGGCCAGTGGAATCTGCTCCACATGTTCTCTGCCCAGAAGGGTAGACCCAAGACACACATGAGGTCGGAGGCTGCCATGTTGGCCAGGTAGATTGCTGCCACCTTCAGGCTCTGCTGGGACAGCAAGAGGAGGGACAGGACCAAGATATTTCCCAAGAGGCCAAACACACAGAGGGTAATGACAAATGTTGGTAACACTCTGTACAGTACGTCCCAGGCTTCGGGAGCATCACGTGATGTGGTGTTGGGGTGGGGGCCCTGGGTCTAGTTGGACAATTGGAGCTCCATGAAGGTCTGGAATACCATCCTCGGTGACGCACAGTGAAAAGGGTGTAGCGTAACCCAGGAGTTTGGAACCTATGGCGCTGCTCAAATCCAGCCTGTCCTGACCAATAAAGTTTTATTGCCACACAGCCACGCCCACCAGATGCACACCGTCCAGGGCTGCTATTTCATGGTACACTGACAGTGTTGACCATCTGGTCCTCCAGAGCGGTGACTGCCAGTCTTTTAGAGCTTCAGTGATAAGAAACAGCTGTCTGTGGCACGGAGGCCATAGGTTTGCCACCAGTGCTCTGGAGGAGGCTTTCCCTGGCCTCTTAGTTACGGGAAGGGACCAGGGTTTGAACGCCTGAGTTCAAATGCAGGTGCAGTCACTTGGAATGGGCCTCTCAGAGCCACTGCCTTTTCCTTTCTTTTTAAAGTTGGAGCTCATGTGTCCCCCGTAAGGAGTGGCTATTAGGGCTGGCAGTAATATCGACCACTGCTTAGTTTGGTGCCTGGCATGGCCTGGAAGCTCTCAGCAGCAGGACAGTCTTATTAATAACCACGTTATTGTTGTGATTTGAGTGCAAGGAACATTTAATGACCTGTACTCTGTGCTAGTATTTCCCAAGATAAAACACACAGGATGGCAGCCCCGGCTCATGGCGAACCGTGTCCCTGCAGGCAAGAGACACAGATGTGGCTGGGACCTGGGGAGAGAGCTGTCACCCAGGGCTGTGCCAGCAGGGTGCTCGGGGTGGGCATGGTGGAGAGTTTCCAGAACAAGAATATTCTTCTGCTTGGCTTGAAATACTTCAATGCTGGAACAGCAACTAACCCTCATGATGTAGGGGGTGTTGTGCGTACCGTGCTGAGTGATTATCTGTTTGCATTTAATTGTTTAATCTTTTAGCAGCCCTGAGCTGGGCAATGACCCATATACTGGGCACTGAGACGCACATCTCACAGCTGGACAGTTGCAGAGCCTGGGTTCCAACTTAGGGGCCCCATGTCTGTTCTATTTGCTTGTGACGCCCTGAGTGGATGATTAAGCCAAGCTTGGGGAAGTCACCTGAGTGTGAAAGGTCCCAACTGGTGAGTGACAGTGCCTGGTGTGACCCCCAATCTGCCCTGACCCCAGGCCATGTTCACACAATGCTACACAATGACCCACATCCTGCCTCCCTCGTACCCAGGGTTATGGCCACTGGTTTCCATGGAGATGAAGAGGTACCACCCCTTCCTGAACATGCCTCCTGGCCTCGGAGACTCCTGAGGGACAGACATGACTGGGAGTGGGTGACCACCAAGTGATGGGACCACAGCCAACTCAGGAAACTCAGGCATCAGGTGGGGCCACTGCTATGCAATTAGGTCACCAGGTGTGGGTTCAGGGACAAGATCTGAGATAAGGAGCTGTCACTGGAAGTTGTGACTGACCACATGGGTGACATTTAAGGCCAACGGCTGGAAGCAGTTACCACAGGAGAGGGCAGTCAGGGAAGACGATTGGCTGCTGCTAGGTAAGAATCCGGGAAACAGTCTGGGCAGCAGAGCCCAGGAAGTGCTCACCCCAAGAACAGCGGGGCTCTGCGTGCTCTGTGGAGAGTGGCTTTGTCCTTTGTGGGAGCTCACAGGTCTACAGCTCTGTTTCAGTGTCTGGCAGGACTTTCAAATTGTGTAGGAACTCTTCCACTGTGACTGACTAAAAACCACACGTCCAGCAAAAAAGCTTTTCTTTCACCAGGAATTAATGGTACATGTGTAATTTGCACAAAACCTCTGAGCTCCAGACCGTTTGGAGCTGCAAAGAGGTGGGACCAGCAACATACTGTCCCCCTAAGGTGTCTGTGTCCTTATCCCAAGTCTAGGATGCCCGAATGGGATCGATGTCTTCACACAGGTGCTTCACAAAGTCTTTGGGGTCAGAGAGAAATGTGACACAGCTTCCTTGCTGGCTTGAAGCTGAAAGTGGGGACACAAGCTGAGGGCATTGGTGGCCTCAAGAAGCCGGGAAAGGCAAGAAGCAGCATCTCCCTGGAGCTCTCAGAAGGAACCAGACCCAGCAATGTCTGATGGTAACCCTGGCCCCGGGACATGTGCTGCTCAATGCACTCAATGTGTGGTAATTCTTTAGAGCCCTGCAGGACACTCTCACCTGGACCACGGACACAGGGACTTCAGATCCACCCCAGCCACTCCAACAGGCACTGCAGCTGCACCATCTGCAAGGCCTGAGTGTGGCCGGCACCTGTGTGACAGGGTTGTCTGCACCAGTTGCTGCCTGTGTTGGAAAAGTCAGCCAGAAATAGGGAACAGCATGATTTTCTCCACCACATCGGCCCTCTTCACCTGAACTCCGATTCCAACAGGCAGGGCATGAGGACGGCATTTGAATCCAGAGTCAGGGGTTAAGAAAGCAATGTGGTCTCCTGAGAAATGCGACTTCCAAGCCAGGCTTCACCTGCACAGTTGCTGCCTACAGAACCTTCTGAGTCATCCTGGATGGACTGAGCTGGTGTCTGTATATTAGCATTTATGGATTGTCATGGGTGGGCATCCACTCAGTGTCATGGGGATTTTAGTTAGCACTGATGGATTTATTGGCTGTGATAGAAAAAAGAATTTTCCAAGTGCTTCCAAAGAGTCCCCTCTCTCCCTCCTGTCCTAAATAACAATTTAAACCCACACTGGGCATAGAATTCAATCTAAGCACAATTCTTCCCGTTCAGTGTATGCACACACAGAACACAGGTTCTGACAATGTACAGCTGTGAAGGAAACTTTCTATTTATTTTTCCCTGAGACACATGAGCTCCTCCTTTTCTATCCCACTTTCCTAAGAGACAGGAAGGCAGTCATTTACTTACTCAGAAAGTGAAAGAGCTCAGGGCTTTGGCTGGGATTGGCAAGCGCTGTCCTCTGTGGCTTTCTGTTCTGGCCGCTCTGTGGATTGCAGCTTCCTTTAATACAACCCTTCTGCTCCTGGAGGTTGTGGGGCTGCCTTTGAAGACAGAGGAGGCCAGCAGTTTGGGGAGGCACCCAGGCACTCCTCTCTCTCTGTGTTTAGGGGGCGGGCAGAGGATACTCAGCGACTCTCTTGTGTAACCTTTGGGAGACCTGGGATGCTATTCCTGGCAGGCACTGGCAAGGAAGCTGTGACTCCCCAATGCCCACACAGCCTCAGCCTGCACTGAGAGATGACTCCCCCACTCACAGTTGGCCCCTGAAGGCAGCGGCTTGGGAGACAGCTTATGTAGAGCTAAACTCCACACGGCTCGTGCATTTTGGTCATGCAGGTGCCCAGCCAAGAAGCCATCCATGAGGACGCCAGGGCCCCAATGGTGAGCACAGAGCAAGACTGACTCACACAGTACTCAGCGCCCCATGGGGTCAGAGGTGCTCCCCTGACAGCTCTGAGTACAACTTACATGTAAGTAGGCTCTATGGATTGGACCACCCTGGAACTCACATTTCAGAAACTGAGAAAGTCCTGGCTTTCTTTTGAGTCAGGCAGCACATCCTATCAACCAAGCCATGGAAGCTATGGCTCTGTGGATTCCTAAAACACAGCTGTGTCCAGAGCCCTGCATTAGCAGGGACACAGCCAGGGCAGGATTCCAGGCCACTGTTCCTGCTCTTGAGGGGCAGCCTCCCCCATGTCTGGATCACAGGGTTGACCTGTCCCTACAGAGTGGGGACTTTTTTTTACATTTCAGCCTTCTGTGACTGATACCTCAGTGTAACTAACTGTGCTACAAAGTCTCCAGCAGTTTTCTCCACTTGCTAGAGATCTAAAAATGGTGGAAGAAAAGATGTTTAAGAGGGAGGAGGAGAAGAAGAATAAGAACAAGAACAAGAAAAGGAGGAGAAAGCGGAGGAAGAGGAAAGGGAGAGAGGAGGAGGAGAGGGGATGCATGGGGGCAGCAATCTGGGCTGACAGGAGACCCCAGTCGGGGGAAGGGTGGCATCTGCCTCCCAGGAAGCCCCTTCCTACAGGCAGCGGCCTCTGTGGTGTGGAGGCTTTAGTCACCCAGGGGCTCTGATGGTTCCACCGCTCTGGCTGGGTTTTAGCCAGAGAAGCGCCCCAGTCCCAGGCTTCCCTGCCACTCCATGATGGGGTCAGGTGAGGGCGGTCAGCAGCCCGCTGCCCCTCCCTCTCAGAGTTCAGGTTCTGGTCCCAACTCCTACAACAGCGGTGCTGCAGGGAAGGTGCCCAGGGAGGGTTTGCTGCACAGCTCCCAGCCCTGTTTGTTTGCGTACACAAATGTCACACCAGCTGGCATACTGTGAAGCCCTTGTGGATGCCGGGCCAGTGGGCACCAGGGTACAGGATGATGAAGGCTCTTCCTGCCCCCACGGCCAGGGCAGCCCTCAGGGCTCTGTGTTTAGCTCTGCGAGAGTCCAAGGCAGACAAGTCCCGTGGAGGAGTCTAGCTTGCAGGACTTCCCGGCTCGTAATTGCAAAACTCCACCAGGAGGATGCACTGGTTGCGTTCTCCAGACATTTAACGAAGATCCAGGGTCTTTTTCTTTTTGGTGAAACTTTGTCAAACTCTGCAAAAGTAATTAAAAGTTACTAAAAGTAACAGGATTAAAATAGGCCAAAAAAAATTAGAGGAGGAGCCGTGCAGTTCTGGAAAGGTGGTGCTGGGGTTGCACTGGGGAGCACCAGCCCAGCGCCTTAAGGGGACAATTGCTGATGACTGCAAGGCGCTCTCAGGCTGAGTGACACAGGAGGAGGAGCGCGCGGGCTGCTCGGGACTGGGAGCAGAGCCTCCTGGAATCATGCATCTTGCAGCATCTTCCTCCCGGAGCAGGTGCTCTGTATCCAAAGCTGACCCGGAAGTCAGGAAGGAGCCTGGTCCTCAAGCACTGACCTCGAAGTCAGGTAGGACAGGGGCAGGGCTTGGTCCTGGCTACATCACTGCGGAGCAGATGAACTGGTGGTTTTCTATGCTGCCACCTCTCTGGAGCCTCGGTAGTGTCCTCAAATGGTTCCTTCACAGAGTCCCAGGGCCCCAGCAGATCCTGCGGGACAGCCAGCTGGCCTCCTGATTTCATCACTGTTTTGTGGTTGCACAAGAAGGCATCGCCCAGGAGGCCACAAAGCCACCCTCCACCTCAGTGTGGATTGCAGAGGAAGCAGATGGCCAGTGCTGGGCTCTGTTCGCAGCCTGGAGGGTGACTCAGGGTGGCGTGTTGAGGAGGCTCAGCAGGCTCCGAATGCATCTTTGGCCACTTTGCTGGGGCGGCAGTAAACAGAGCAGTGTCGGCCGTCTGGAAGCCTGAGTGGAGCTCCTGGTCTCTGTCTGAGCTGGTCTAAGGCGCCCTGAGTCAGCCTGGCCCAGCCCAAGAAGAGACACAGGGTACCAGGTCCGGGCTCTGCAGGCTGATGGAGCACTCTCGGGGCCTGGGCCAAGCCCCGTGTACTGTGGACTCAGAGGGAGGCCTGGGAGCCTCTGCTTCGGGTCTGCCTGTGCATCCTGTTCTTTTGGAACCCTTCCCTCCTTAGCTATGCAGGAGGATAGAACCCAGAGCTGGGGTGTCCCAGGGTTCCCAGGGAGGAGCCGCCCTTTGCTTCATGTGGCTTCAGGGGGCTCCATGCGTCCTTTACTCTCCTTGTCCATAGAGCACTGTGCAGTCTCTGTCTCCTCCTCTCTGTGGCTTCCCCACATCTCAGTGGTCCTCCCTTGCTCCCCCTCTTCCTCCTCCTCTTCATCTTCCTCCTCCTCCTCCTCCTCCTCCTCCTCCTTCTTTTGGTCTTTTTGAGACAGAGTCTCGATATGCAGTTCAGGCTGGCCTTGAGCTCACGTTGTGGCCCAGACTCGTCCTGAACTTGCAATGATCCTCCTGCCTCAGCCTCCCAGTGCTGAGATTACAGGCGTGAGCCACTATGCCTGGCAACCCCTTTTTATAAGGACATCAGTCATTGGGTTTAGTGCCCATTTTAATCCAATAAAAACTCCTTCCTTGATATTTACTCCCGCAAAGACCCTATTCTAAGATAAAATCACAGTCTGAAATTCTAAGTGGACTTTCCTGGAGGACATTGTTTAACTCCCTACAATAGCTTTTATCTCCTATAATCTTTACCAAAATTGGACTCGAGGTTGTACCAAAAGTGCATTGCTTTTGTGTTACGTAAAGCCCACAGACCTTAAATGAAGCTATTTTGAGTTGGGGCTTTCTGCACGCACAAGGCCTAAAAGAGGCATAGTTGCTTGTTGTGGTAAAAATAGCCTGAGCCTCAGCCAAGAAGTACCCCTTAGGAACAGCTGGGTGCAGGGCTCTTCAGTGGCAGTCATGTGCCCTGTCACACTTGGGTCCCCCATAGCAGGCAGAGCTGATCAGCACCCTCCTTAAGAACTTAGCAAGTTCCTGCCCTCAGTTCCCATGCCAGGAAGTGGGGGGCATAACCACTCTGCCTTGCTGGGGGGCGGGAAGAGCCCATTCAGTAGGAGTGATCCTGAGGGGCCTTGGACCAAGCCCAGTCTCAGCCCAGAACCACAAATCAGTTTGAATGGTCAGCATGGCTATTGCCACACTCCAATCTTTGTTGCTCATCCTCGACCCCCACATCCTCCAGGATGCGGGTAAAGATGGGGTTGGGGGGGGCTTTGCAGTGGGGCAGGGATTGGGGAACAGAGGCTGAGGCACGGCACTGACTCATGAAGATAGCACCCAAGTGGCCCAGACAGCTCAGTGTCATCATCCTGAGCGTGGGCTCCCAGGGCTCAGTGGCACTCAAGGCCCTCTCAGCCCTCAGTCCTCATCCCGACTGCTGGAGTGTGCTCAGGAGCCTGGCTCCTTGCTTGGTTCTCTGAGGCCATGGACGCGCAGGGTCAGCTGTGAAGCCTCTATGCCTGGCTGGCTGCGGTGGGTACAGGCTGTGGGCCCTGCTCTGGGGTCCTGCCACGTGGCTTCCCTCTGGACTGAGACTTCCTTGCATCCTGAACCAATGCTACATCGTGCCCACCCCTCACTCCCCTGGGCAAGGGCATTGCTTCAGGCTTCTGGGCTCAGGGTGCTCAGTGCAGGGTTCACCAGAGGGAGAACTCAAGGCCTCCTGGGATCCGTCCCAGCACTTGGGTCTGATGTGGATGGGAACAGGGAAGTACAGGGAGGCAGGCAGCCCGTATGTGGACGTAGAACTTCATGCTAAGAGGGGCGTGTTGGATGCATTGACCCAGCTCATAGGCCACTTTGGGAATACGCCCCACTGCAGACTGTCAATCATTTCCTCTTGTGATCTGAGGGCTGCCTGGGAGCTGCAGTTACATCTGATATCCACCACTAAGAGAGGATGGTACCATATACTACAGGAAAAGCACCTAGATTCAAAATGTGGCTTCTACTGAACGAATTGTTTTGGCACCATCATGGAGCCAGAAAACAATCAGCTGAGCCACTGTCGTTACAAGGCTCAGGCTTTCCTAGCTTAATTCCGAGGCCCAGAACCCAGGGTTCTCCTGGGACAGTGCCCTCCTTCCCACATCCTCATCCCTACCTCCAAAACCCCAGTGAAGGCATGATCAGTGCCTGCTGTGTGCCAGGCATTGTACTGAACACTTCCTGCAATCATTTCGTTAATGATTGTGACACAGATGACATTTTATGGTTAAGGAAAGGCGGACTCGCAAACAAATACAGGCCAGGGCGGAGCCCAAAGGGGAACTATGTGTCGTTCCCTCCCCCCCCCCCGCCCCCTGCCAGTGTCTGGCTCTATTCTTCCTGCTTGCAGCCTCCTATGGGTGCAAATGTGTCCTAGTTACTTTTTCATTGCTGGGACAAAATATGCAGCACCCACAAGGCAGGGGAGGAAAAATTTATTTTAGCTCACAGTGTCTGAGGGTTTCCGTCAGTATCTGGCTCCAAGGCAGAGCAGCATGGTGGGGAGGAAACCGCCCATGGCAGGGGAGGCAGGAAGCCATGAGGTGCTCCCTTTTCATTCTTGTTATGCCTAGTAGTTGGTGCCTTTTCATTATCCACACCCAGAACTATGCTGGCCCAATCAAGGGACGAATCCAGTATCACACAGCCATGAACCAGCCACCCATGAGTGCCTGGGGCTCTGGGGAGACATCCAGATGCAAGCCATAACAGAGACCGAGGATTTGGGGATGGTCATGGCTCAGTAGAGGGACCCCGAGGAGGGGAAGGCTGCATCCAGAAAGAAGCAGACAGATGCAGGAAGCCCTTGGGGAGGGACTCTTAAGAGCTGATCGGCTGGGGGAGGAGCAGGAAGCATGGCAGAGAACAGAGCAGTGAGCCCAGGTTTCTGGTATGTGTGAGTGGCTGCGTGGATCAGCCGTGGTACTTACAGAGTCACAAAATGCATGTTTTTGTTGGATGAATCAGTGAATGATTCATTAAACAAATCATGACTTAACAAAACGATCCCAAAATGAAATGGACAAAAAGTTCCCCGTTGCTGGGGCTGTGCAAAGTGACTTCTTATCCAGATACTCTAGTGGATACTTCCAATTTGTGGGGAGGACCACATGGTAAGTGCTCAGTAAATACATGTTGTATGCAGGAGTGGCAGAGTCACTGCCATCTCTGTGATTCTGGGACCTCGTGAAGCCCGCTGGGCCCCTGATGGAGATTTGGTAATCAGCAATCCATGGAGGCATGTAGGATGGGGGAAAGTAACAATTTCCTGAAATTTTCTTACATTACTTACTGATTATATTTAGAGTATGTTTGTCTACCTAAGTGTACACATTGGGTCTTTTTTTTCCCCTTCTACTTATGAGGATCCAAAATTGCAAAGGTTTGGAGACCACTCTGACCTACGGGACATAAGATCAACCAAGTAAATAAATCTCTCACTCCATGAAGTTTAAAACAAAATGCAGGGATTTCAGGAATTACGGCAAAGAAAGAGCCACATAAAAACTCCCCTTCCGGGCTGGGGATTTAGCTCAGCAGCATAAGCTCCTGCCTTGCAAGCCTGTGGTCCGTGAGTTTGATCCCTGGTACTGGTAAAAATACAAAAAAAAGGGGGCTGGGGATTTAGCTCAGCGGCATAAGCGCCTGCCTTGCAAGCAGGCAGTTGTGAGCTTGTGAGTTCGATCCCCTTCCGTCCCCGCCCATCATACCCCCTGCCATGATGGGGGGGCACATGCCGAGCAGCCCCCTTCACTCTGTGCACGGGATCTGGGTCCCTCTTCTGTGTCACTTATTTTCTTTCTCTGGTCACAAGCGCACATGTTTGCGTGTGTATTGGGACAGAGAAATGGGTACTTGGGAGAAAAGGAATTTGGGGAGCTCCCTTCTTCGATCATTCTCAGGGTGAGACTGCTCTGGATATGTGGGCTTTTTGCTACCCCAGGCCTGGCGTCTGGCCTCTCTGGACATAGCTGGCTACCAAAGACTCATTTCCGGTCTCTCCTAAGCTCACCGATCCTGAGCTGCCTTGGTCCTATGTGGCTTGATGATGGAGCCTGAACCCCACGTTCCTTCCTATCTCCCCAGGGGCCGTGGACTGTGCTGGCTGCAGGAGGCAGATTATTAAGATGAGTAAAAACTGCTCTAAAGTCCTACTATGCTTTTGTTCTTCTGTTTTCATTGGTTCTATCATATTATATCTTATTGGATTTTATTATGTGATAGTATAAACAAATTTTCTATGGAAAATGAGATAATATAGTAGCCATTGTTCGTTCTGTGTTATTTTGTTCTAAATGCCCTGTAATGCTTTTCATTCTCTTGAATGGCTTTCTATACTGTTTTGTTATGTTTGATACTATGGCATATGAAGTTATGCTCAACTGTTTCAAAGAAAGAGACATTATGGTAGTTACTGTTAATTATGGGTTGTCTAGTAGTAAAATACTGTGTTGCTTGCATTGTTTTGATCTGATCTGCTTTGTTAAGTCCTCTTTTGTCTTAATCTCTTAAAAAAAATAGCTAAATGAATTCCCCACAGAAAACGGACTGGCACCCTCTGCCTCCGGCCAGCACTGCTGTGCCTTGCTCCCACAGCCCCGCCACTCTCCCCAGCCTCTGATGGAGGCCGCTGGGATGGCCGCTCCCCCATCTCTGTTTAGCTGCCGGCTGTTCATCCTGTGGATACCTCGTCTCTATCCCCGAGAGTTCGCCAGGGTCACACATGCCCAGCCTGCCCAGCTGGACACCCTTACCCTTAGCCCGCTGTGTAGGGAATGAACCCCAGAAGTCACGCTTTGGGGTCTCCAGGGGCTGCTGCCCTGGGGCGCTCTCCAGCAGGGTCCAAGTGCAGCGGTCCCATCAGAAATCTCCCCCAGCTTCCCCACAATCCTGACACAGGAGGGCCTCCCCCAAGCATGTGGGTGTGCGTGTGCAATGTGTATGCATACGTGTGTGCTCACACATGTGTGGGATGAGAGGCCGAGGGCTGAGCAGAATGAATCATCTCCCCCTTCTGCTCCCATGCCAAATCCCATCGAGTCCACAGAGCCATTTCTGAACCTCTGTGTCTTTTCCTTATAATTATTTATTCCCATTCCGTGAGCATCAGGATGCCTCACACGTGCATAACACCTTTCACTTCTCAAAGTCCTTTTGTGCCCATTACCACCTTTAACGGTCCCGCAACCTCATGTTACACAGGGGAAACTGAGGCAGAGGCAAGGGTGTTGTGCACCTAGTTCTGGCTGAGTAAGAACCCGGGCTACTGTACCCGCTACAGTGTGGCTTGAGCACAGAAGGACAGACAACCTGCTGGTGCCTGCCTGCCCACAGGCCTCCCCTACCCACAGAGCTTCTGGCTTCCTTCGAGATCGAGACTGCGTTATCTCCCCCAGTGCCCAGCTGCATACACAGGAAGTGCCCAGAGAGTGCCTGCGGGGTTCTTTTTGCATGGAGAAGAGGAGCCGCGGAATCCTGGTCTCTGGGTTCCTATCAGGGACCCCTCAGAGTTGAACTGAGAAATCACCCTCTGAATTCTGAGCTGCATGGGTTCATGAACACCAGGACAAAGATTCTACCAGGTCCTGTTGGGTGGCGGGTCTGAGATCTGAGCGGTCACACCAGGGCAGGGAGGACAGCACGGCCTGCAGTCTTTCCTGCCCCTGCCCCTCCACTTTTAGGAAGGAACAGGTGTGGCAGCAATAAGACTAACGCCGTTGTCCCCGGGGGAGCCCTCACGGGGCTCCACTTGCTGTTGTCACAGATCTGCCCATGCAATGGGGAGGGCAGGAATCACCCTCCTGGCTTTTCCTGAAGATGCTGACTCACTGCTCACGGTCACGTGAGATGTCCTCTGCTCCCTGCTGGACCCATGCTGAAGAGCAACTGTGTGTGCCTGTCCTCGGACACATTCACAGCAGCCCTGGTGGCGTCCCCTCGCTGCTACTCCTCGCCCAGTCCTGCAGTTTGTGGATCTGCCGGTCCACCGAGATGGACGTGCGCAGCGTTCCCATGGAGTTCTCTGACTGGGCAGGTTCGGACACACAGCCCCCGCTCCTGCACAGCCCGTGGTACACCTCGCGGGACTTCTTCCGGAAGCGCTTGCCCACGATCACATACACCAGCGGGTTGAGGCAGCTGTTGCTGTAGGCCAGGTAGGAGCTGATCTGCGTGATGAGGTCGATGACATGCTCCCAGCAGCCGGGGAGGAAGCCGAGGAGCCTCAGTGTGTCCAGGAAGGTGCCGATCTGGAAGGGCAGCCAGCACACAACAAACAGCAGCAGCACAGCCAGAACCAGCACGGTGGCCCTCCGTTCCGTCTGGATCTCCTTGAACTTCTGCATCTCGTTGTTGCGAAGCACCTGCATGATCTGCACTGTGCAAAAGGTGATGATGCTGAGGGGGAGCAGGAAGCCCACCAGGTTCAGGAGGACATTGGTGAACACCTGCCAGGTGAGCGACGGGTAGATGATGAGGCACGCGGTGACATTGTGGCCCTCATCTCTGTAGTCCTTCATGGTCCGGAACACCAGCATGGGTGAGCTCAGGAGCAGTGCGCAGCCCCAGATCACCAGGCTGTAGAGTTTGGCCCAGCGCACCCCGCGCATCCGGCCCATGGACATGGTCTTCACGAGGGCCAGGTAGCGGTCAATGCTCACCAGCATCAGGAAGCAGATGCTGCTGTACATGTTCATTTGGATCATGGTGTTCACCATGCGGCACAGGACCTCCCCGAAGAGCCAGTCAAAGTTGTTGGCGATGGTGATGGCCCAGAAGGGCAGCCCGAAGGCCAAGATGAGGTCGGCCACCGCCAGGTTCCCCAGGTAGATCTCTGCCACTGTGCAGCTGCTCTTGTGCAGGAAGAAGACACTGAGGACGAAGATGTTCTCCAGCACTGCCAGCACAAACAGGACCCACAAGAACGGTGCCTGGATGGTGTTGAGCCAGCTCCACCACTCAGCGTCAAGGCAGCTGTTGCCCTGGGCAAGGGTTGCGTTCAGAGCTGACACTTGCGAGGTGATGTTGAACATTGCAGAGCTGAAAGAAAGTGGAAAAGAGGCTGTTACATCTCAAAGTCACAAGCTGAGGGAGAGGCAGCTGGTGCAGAAGCTGCAGGGGCACAGGGAAGCCCAGTCACTCAGCAGTTGGTTCCCCGGGGTAACTTAAGGTTGGGGGACTCTTGACCTCCTGGGTCTCAGGGAGCCCTCGCCACTGCACGAATGAGTGGAGACCTCATTGCTTCATCTTGAATCTCCCCAGGAGGGTTCCGGGCCAGCATCCATCAGCAACACTGGCAATCAACAACTGGGGGCCCCGGAAGCTTCCTCCAGGAGACTGCACAACACATTCCTTCCTTATTCAAATGCCACTCCCTGAGGAAGGAATGGGAGAAGAAAAACCACAGTCACGCCACCGCACGGGGAGATTCCAGCCTGGGCTGGGGAGACAGGGCCCAGCTGCCCACAAACCGCCTACTGAACAGCTGCTGCTGGCTGAGGGTAGCAGTGTACTTGGCATCCTGTGCCAGAGAGGGTGCCTGACGGAGAGGGAGGCAGGGCCTGGGAGCCAGAGAGCCTTCCTGGGTTCAAGTCCTGGCTCCCTTACTTATTAGATGGGTTAATGTCTCTGAACCTCACTGCATTAACCAAGAAAATGGGAATAACAGAATCTACTTCTTAAGATTATGGTGGACCCTATTACAGCTCAGCGGCACAGGGCCTGCCAGGCTAATAAATGCAAGGTCTTGAGTTTGATTTCTGGCATCTAAAATTAAAGAAGAAGAAGAAGAAAGCGGAAGAGAAGGAGGAGGAGAAAAAGAGGAGTAAGAGGAGGAGAAGGAGGAGGAGAGGCAGTGCACCAGAAGCTCCAAGCTCTGCATTTGGTTCAATAAACACAAGGATTCATTTTCTTTTGTTGCATATTAAAACACCCAGCGTCAGACTGTATCACCAAAGTCGTGCGGCTTTGGCTTCTGTGTCCATGACCTCATCACTCCCTACTGCTCCTCCTTTCCTCTCAGGCGAGACTCAGAACTGGGGCTTAGGCTGCTTTCTGTAAGTCTTCACTACCTGATCCCTGCCTGCCACAACGAGACACAGCACTCAGCAGGTGTGGGTTTCCACCCCAGCTGTGTGGCCTTGAGCAGACATCTTGACCTCTCTGAGCCCGCATTTTGCTTTGTTGCGGTATGTATTACCCTTCCTCACTCTCCTTACCTGGCAGTGGCGAGGTTGAAATCAAAGAGTGGTTATGAAGATACAAGGAAAAGCCCAAAGCACACACCCCCTGGCCTGTCCTCTGTACCCTTGGGGTGAGGGGCGGCAGAGGGAAAGAGACTCCTCTGGGAGGCTCAGGGTTGGGAAGATCTCCGGCCCAGGAGCTGAGCAGCTCATGACAGGGTGGTTCTGCTCATTGCCTCTGGGGTTTCCCAGGAAAAGCCCCTCCACTTATCAGGGCAGCTGGGCTCTCCTGAGCCAGGCTGGGGCCTGTGATTCACTGTCACTGCTCCAAGTCTGGAGAGGTTTTGGGAGCGCTGCCTGGGACTGGACACGGAGAGGAATCCCACGTCCCCATCCTGCTCCACAGCACGGCCCGGTGTGTGATGAGCCCAGGGCGTGGCAGGAGGGACACAGTTACAGAACCGGGTAGGGCAGACAGATGAGGTCAGGGATGACCTTGGAGGTAGGTCTTGAAGGACAAAGAACATTTGGACAAGGGATGGAAGAAGAGGACAGAACAGGCAGGGGAGTCAGCAGTCTCAGAGGTAGGAGGCTGCTGCTGGTGGGTCCTGGAGAGGGCAGGGGGGAGGTGCAAATGGTGAGGCTGGGGGAAGCCACAAGCACAGTCTGCATGGGGAGCCTAGGAAGTGAGGTTGTGCCCCTGAAGGCCCAGGAGGTGTGCGTCAGAGAGACCTCCTTGTGATGGCTTTGAGTATGTCCTACAGTTCTCTGACACTCTTCCCTTCCATGGGAGGAGCCTAACCCTTCTGCTGAGTGTGGGTTGCCCTTGGTGGCTTGCTTCTAACCAATAGTGGCAGTGGCAGCGTGTGACTTCAGGGCTGCAGCTTCCTCCTTGGCCTCTTGGATTGGTCCCCCTGAGAAAATCAGCCACCATGTTGGGGGGATCTGAAAGCAGCCACATGGATAGGAAGCAACTTGTGACCTTGAACGTGGAGCCTGTGGCCCCCAGACAAGCCATCCGCTGCTGCTAGCCCCCAGCTTTGCCCATTCCAGCTGAGGCCCAGACAAGAGATGCAGACACCAGCTGCCTCTACTGGCCCTGCATTCCTGACCCCTGAGGCTGATGCCCCCCACCCCCAGCATCCTCTACAGGGGACCTCTCTAGACAGTCCCCTCGTCCAACTCTTGGCCTAGACTGCAGCTACAGACAGCCCATTTCCTCAGCATTTGGCTGTGGAGTCTGTGTCTTTCTTGGGCCAGTTTACTAGGGACAGCAGTACTGCTCGAGATGCTACTTGGTAGTTTCTCAGCCAATGGGCTGAGAGCAGACCCAGTGCTGACTCTGAGAAGCCACAGAGTGACCAGACGCTACCTAGCAAGTCCTGGGTTAGGAGCTGTGGGGTCAGTGCCACAGCCCTGGCTGAGATGGCCGTGTGGCTGGCTGTACTGCTGCAGGTTGGAGAGGCCATGCTGGGTCCTTCCCCGTGTTCTGCCAACTCTGCACCTGCTGGCCTGGCCTCCCTTCCCAGTGGATAGCCCCTTGCTGCATTCTCTCTTTAGCGGGCTCTGGTCCCACTCAGTCAGCCTGATGTGAGAGACACCCCATCTCTGCAGTAACTTGCACCTGTGTCTGACCTTGGGGCTCTGACTTCAAGGTTGAGCCCTTGCTGCTGGTGGGTCCAAGGCAACCAGGAGTGTCCCTCCCCAGTCCCACAGGACAACACCCTCAGAGGAGCCAGAACATCTTAGAGTTTTTATCTTTGGGCTCAATACTCTGCTCCTTCAGGGCTCACCTAGCGTCTGATGACCTACCAATTCAGGGTGTTCTCTAGGCCATCTAATGAGTCACCCGAAGGCTACCTTTGACTCACCTGAGGGAGGCTTCGGTGGGTGCAGGTTCTTCATACAGAGACAGGAGCATTAGCTTCTTCCAGCTTGAAGGCATCTGGACTTGGAGTGGGGTGTGGTTGAGGCTTTTCTCCTGCTGGAGAAGGTGGAGAGAGGGTTAGAGGGCAGGTGAGGACGGTGACACACAGCAATCCTCCGCTGTGGAGGGAGATGGAGTCTGCTCACCACGTGCTAGGCGCCAGGCACAGATGCAAATTAACGAGGTCACGGGGCAGGGTGGGAGGGCACCCTCAGAAGGACCCCGCAGGCTTGGATTTTCAGCCTCCAGAACTGTGAGCCCAAATAAATTTCTTTCCCCATGTTTCTCTCAGTCTCAGTGTCCCGTTATAGCCACAAAAATGCACAAAATGGTCCCTTCTGACAAGCACAGCAGCCTTGACGCTATCGCTGATGCCCCAAACTCTTATAGATGGTTGACATTTTAACCGGTCATTCTTTTTAAATGACATGGTAGTCATTTTTCCTTTGAAGTTTGTTGAAATGAAGTTATAATTCAAAAATAAATTGATATTTAAAAATTATACAGGAGATGAAGTTAGGGCAGAGACAGAGTGTGAAGGTCACACTTGGGGCTGGGGACTCGACTGACACCTCGTAACAGACCTTGGACTGAGTCCTCCTCCGCGGAGTTCACCGTTTAATCTCATTTTTCTTAATAGAAGGATCAAAATGTATGACAAATCACTAAATTTTTTTTAAAAATATTGCCTTAAAGGTAACTTGCCAGAAACTGCCTCAAAGTTCCCCTTCCCTCCAAACACACTTAGCCCATTTTCCTTGCCACTTTCTGAAGCAGTTCTGGTGTCCTCTTTCATGAGTGTCTTTACAAAGCCCGAACAAAACTGTAATGAACACTGCCACTGCTTTCCCTGAAAAGATGGGCTCAGGAAACATGACAGTGTGTCCTTTTCTAGGTGCTGAAACCAAATACCTGACACCCAAAGGAGCAGAGGTTTATTTGGTTCAGTTTGTAGAGGTTTCAGTCTGCAGATGGCTGGCTCCAAGGCAGAGTGGCACCAGGCAGAGGTGAAACCACTGATTACAGGCAGAAGAGAGCAAAAGCAAGCCAGGGACCTGAGCGACTCCGTTCCACCCCTTTTATACTCTATCTATGTGTTTTAGGGTGGTGCCAAACCATGCACTGGACTGATTTAGTAATCATACACCCTTAATTCTGGCAACTTTAATCCCAGCATTATATCATGAGTCAGCCACACACTCTAGATTCACCCCTGAAAACCTCTACCAAAGACTGCATGAGGCTCTGGGGGACTCTGAGACATGAGCTGAACCGGTCCCCTTCCACCCTGTTCGTGGGAGCTGGCCTGGGTGACGTGTGGCTCTTTTCCACAGTCAGTGCAGCCATGAAAGTTCAGTGTTTTGAGTTGCTTTGGGACATTTAGGTGGACGGGACAGCAGCAAAGCTAACGACACTCAGGAAAGAAGGCTGACAGACCTGCTTCAGAAATTGGCAGAATGAGGGGATCAGTGTATTTAAAGTGGGGGGGGGGATTTGAAGAGGTTTCACGGAAATATGTCTTTTAAGGCAATACATTTGTCTTAAATTCAAACCTTTGCTGTAGTTTCCCATCACATGGGTACAGCAGTATAGAATAAAAGAGCCCCCACGTCCTCCAGCTGCTGTAAGGAGCAGATAATTCAATGTGGGTCAAGCGCAGAAGCCTGTGGCCCAGGGTCCCAGCTCTAAGCTGCTCAGCCTGCCCCCAGAGGCGCCTCTGCCTGAGCTACATTGGAACAGGGTGCTATTCAGGGGGCGTCTCCTCCTCCCCTGCTGCCCACCCAGGGGGCCGTTGAGGCAAATGGTCCTGGGTTTTCTCCACTGCTCTTGGCTCTCTTTTTTGGCTCTCACTCTCTGTAATTATATTTGGTCTGCAAGTGAGGACCCTGCCTCCTGCAGCTTCTCACCTCAGTCCTCCACCTGTCTACCTGTGCTTTGCAATTCCACGCTCTTGAACATGAGCTCCGTAAGTCAGTCAAGCCTCCCAGGTCACCCAGAAAGCTGCAGTCAAAGCCAGAGCTCGAACGACTGTGGTCCTGAGTCCCCTTCTCCAACACCTGGATGGTTAATGTCCTTCCCTAACACCTGATTTACAAGATACCGAGTCAGGATGCTGTGTGGAAACTGTCCCCAGGCAGACCTCAGGCCACAGCACACGGCAGAGGAGGGGTGACAGGGGAACCCACAACAAGGCCTCCTAAGCCTTTTCCAGCTCAGCAGTACAGGCGAGCCGGGCAGGTTTCCCAGCAGCCCTTTCTCCACTGCTCCACAGAGAAGACCAGAGCAGCCCAAGGGGAAAAGATGGGGCTCTGGGGAAGGCAGCCTCCACCCGCTGAGCTCCCAAAGTCAGCTGAACCCAAAAATGAGGTTTAATCCCCAACATGCACACTGGGGCTTTTCCAGCATTTGTGCACCTTATTGACAAGGAACATTCTAGAAGCCACCTAGGAGGGCACAGGTATCCCCTCCTATCTTGATTTCTGTAGGGGACAGGAAGGCCACTGTCCTGACTCTGTCTACCCTCAGATACCTGGACCTTTTTATTTTTTTAACCTGGAATTTAAAAAATTTTTATCATTCCTTGTTCACTGTGGCTAGATTATTCGTTTCAGCAGGTTTTGCTTCTTTTCCTTACCTTGAGTTTTGTAGCTTTAATAAAAAGCAGTTTCATCTGACACCCTGCCACTTCTGCTCCTCAAAACAAAGTCTCGCTTTCCAGAATCACAGAAACATTCAAAAATAATGATTAAAACCCCACAGTTGGAGCCTTCCACACAGCTCTTCCCAGATTCACTTGCCACCATCTTTTGGCAGGAGTTACGTGGTACATGACATCGTGGGAATTTTCCATTGCTCCATGGATGTGATGATGACACCTTTAATACCATGCACTATGTTTGTTGGTGTCATTTATGAAGCCACCCCTTCAGTCCCTTTCCATTTAACACATTTCCCAGTGCTCCCTGGGGTGCTTCCTACCCCCATTTGAGCTCCAGCTGCCCCTGCCCACTGCCCTTCTCTCTGCCTGCCCGCACCCAGCGTGGCTGGTTCTTGTTCCTTGCATCCACCTGGCCAGGCAGCCCTTTCCTGGTGTGAGACCTAATGCTAACCCCGGTCTCTGTGCAGGTGTTTTGCGTATGTGACTGAAGACCACAGTGGGCAGCCGTGCAAAACAGGGGTAACCCTTGGTTACTTGGGTGACCCACAAAGCTGAGAGAATTTCAGAACAGACCCAAGATTTCCTAAGAAGAAAAGAAAACTTAGTTATGTTCTGGTCAGTTTGTAGCTCTGCGGGTTGCGAGCAGGGTCTTGAACACACTTAGGCAAAGGCTACTGCTTGAGCTACACTTCAGCCTGAAATTCTGCTGGGGACATCAGCTTCAGGCTGTGCCTAAGACCTCTGCCTGCCCCTCCAGGAGGCTCCTGCAGAGCTCAGATGGCCTCACTGTCACCCACAGCATGCTCGCCCATTCCCTGAAATACAGCTCAGAGCCCGTCTCCTGCAGGCTGTTTCTCTGCTCAACTGAGATGGGCACCCCTCCCTCCTCCTGCCCTTTCTGTCCTCTGCATTTGTCCCAGGGCACATCGGTGCCACTTGCTGGTGTTGGTGCCACTTCCTCTCTCTGTCCTGTGTCCCACACACAGTGAGTGGTCAATAGATGGCTGCTGACCAGCAGAGGGCAGGCATGCTTCTTTCTCCTTTGCTTTCCAGCAGGTATCTTTGCAGGACGGAGGCAAGGGAAACAGGAGTTATGGAACACCCACCTGTCACCCCCCAACACTGCACCACTGAGCAGTGAACTCACCTTTTTTCACACGCTGCAGATAAACATGCAGAGCCAGGGATGGACCCTAGGCCCTTGCACTGCACACAGCTAATGAGAGGTGAGATTCAGCCTAGGTTTCCTTGAACCCAATGTCAAGTTCTTTCCTCAACACCAGACAAACTCCCGCCCAATGGGACTCCTGGGCCAGGGCACATCTGAAGGGTAGAGGGGGTTCAAGGACCCGCTATCCTGGAGGGCAGGCTGGCTTATTTCCCCGCAGAAAAGAAGCTCTGTGCATGTGGCTGTCTGAGAAGCTAGGATTGGGGCTCAACTGGCCATGATCATGGGGACTTTGGGGAACCAGCAGCCAGGCAGCAAAGCCAGCATTCCCAGGGCATCTGTCCAGGGGGCAGTGTGGCTCTTCCCCTCCTCTGGACTCTGGTGGGTGTCGGGTGCCCAGGATGATCTAATAATGAGGCTTTCTCACCCAGGAAGCAGGACGCCTTTCAGTCTCAAATTTGCTGGCCACTTCTGGCTTGGGTCTTGAGTTGAGTTTGGAAGACGGGTTGCAGAGGAGTGGCCACTGTGTGTGTGTGTGTGTGTGTGTGTGTGTGTGTGTGTGTGTGCGCGCGCATGCACACACGCGTGCGCGCACACATATCCTGGGTCTGGGTTCACTAACTGGGCTTGTCCGGCGGGGGGGGGTGCTGCCCACTAGTTCTGGGCCTCTGTCCACCTTCACATACACATGGATGTGCCAGCACTTGAGACAGGTGCCAGACATATCCTGAGGACCCTGTGGCTTCCTGACTGAGACCCGCAGTCACTTTGAATCCCAGCTCCAACACTTCCCAGCTGTGGATCACCTTGGACACGCAGCTTACCTCTGTGAGGCCTTAGGTTTTCTTATCTGCTGTGACTGGGGTAACAGTCGCATATACTGTGTGAGGTGACGCTGAAGATTACAAAGTGCGGAGAACAGCTTTGCTTTGAGCTGCTCCACCGTGGTCAGTGTCCTTCCTCTCTGCACCATTTTCTGCAGTTTTATTGGAGGAAAGTGCTCTGGAGCTGACAAAGAAAGTGTCCAACCTGCCCCTTCCTTTTCCTTCACAGAGGGGTAAACTGAGGTCCAGAGAGGCGAGGAATCTTCCCTGGAATGGGAGCTTGTGTTTGGCTTGCCTCCTGCTGTTTCAGGAGCCTGATCCAGGTCACTGAGGCTCAGAGGCCAGGGTCAGGGCTGTACCCACGGGGACACTGCCTCAGTGACCATCAGACTTAAAGCACAAA